CCTTCTTTGGTCATTGAACAGTAAGACAAAGTCTGTTCAATCAAGCTCATAATCAGATGAGCAGTATATTGTGCTTGATACATAAGCAGTAAATTTTACTTTATAGACTAGTGAGATTTCATCAAATAAATTAACTCTATTAATAGAAGGCACTTGATCTTCTAATGAAATTTATGGCAGTGGGCTAGACTGATTCAAACTTCATGAGTCATTTTCAAGGTGACTTCGGAGGTGTAAGATGAAGAGCATTTCAGTGTGTGTCCGACTCCTGACAGATACACTCCTTAACCCGCTAAAGAGGGAAGTTTGCGACTGAAACTAGGGACGTTAGCCCGCGAAAAACGCCATCACTTCTGAAACTTCACAAATCATGTTGTAAGCTGTACATTCTGCCTGGAATCCCAAAAAATTCTTCAACACTATTACAATAATATCAGTAGTTAGTTTTCCTCACTTCATATCAGCGGAGTGACGATGTCTTTATAGACACTCTTTTGATCAAAAACTGTTAACGCAGTCACAGATATCAATAACCCTTTCAGTTAACGTGTTTCATCCTTCATACATCAGTTTATCGAAGGTGTTCTGGTGAACATGATTTATACAGTTGTTTGCATTCCCACTATTTCATCACATCTAATAACTACTGTCTAATACAGTCAAGTCATATACTACACAAATTTTCCATGTGTAATCGAGAATTGTATGAAATTTCATCAAATTTCTATTTCACAATTAGGAGAGGCAAACTGTGTCCATTACACACTACGAATTCGATCTCAGGTGGTACCGCTTCGCCCGAGTAGCTACAGAGAATTCGGGTGGTTATAATGATTCGGTTCTCTGAGCCGAGTGCTTGAGCGAGTATATGACTGGTTAGTTCGGCCTGAAATCAGTGAAATAGCCGTCCGCTCTTCAGATCGTTCCGATCTCCCTGGCTGGCTGGCATATACTACTGATTGACGTGAATGGAATCTAACCACTCATCTCCATCAATCAGCAGTAAAGTGTGCAGACATCTTGTGTCATCCTCTTACTCAAATCTTTAATGCATCATTTAACAAGGAAACGGTACCTGTTGACTGGAAAGAAATCAAAGTTGTACCTGTACAGAAATCATCTTCTGGAGCAGGTATAAAGTTTAGACCGGTCGCTATAACATCTCCTTTTTTGGAAACTATGGAGAAACTTCTTTTGAATATTCTTACACCTTCTTTAAAAGCTTTTAGTGACCCTAAGCAGTTTGCTTATAGGTGTGGAAGAAGTACATTAGATGCAGCCGTTGTACTACACCACAATACTGTTTTCTGCCTTGATAAGGGTGCTAAGTTCGTTCGAACAGCTTTTTTAGACTATACTGCAGCTTTCCACTCTGTTCCTAGGACACTTTTATTAGGAAAGATGATTTCAGCACAAACAGAGTCCTGGGCAACTAGATGGCTGTCTTCTTATTTTAAGGATAGGAAACAGCATACTGTTTTGGCTGGAAAGCGCTCCACTTCTCAGCTAACTGAAAGTGGTGTGCCTCCAGGTGCAGTACTTTCTCCATTTCTTTTCTCTTTCTTTTTGCATGACCTTCCGAACTCACCCAAAGTTAACTTCATTAAGTATGCTGATGATCTGACCGTTTCTGTCCCTGTAGTTTCCACATCGGATTGTTCCCATATGAATGGCTTCTTAGCTGAAGTTAAGGATTGGTCTGGCTCAAATGGTCTTAAAATAAATCCAACTCAATGTAATACTGTTGATTTCAGCTTGAGAAGTGAAAAAGTTATGCATGGATTGATCCAATCTCATGATTGTTGTAATATTAATGGTACCATGATAGAGAGTAAGTCAAGTGTTTCTTATCTTGGCATTAGTTTCTCTTCAAACCTTAGCTGGTCGTCTCATATTCTTATAGTTTCTAAGAAAGTTTTCCGTCTGACTTATTATATAAAGAAGTTGAGGCACTCAGGTATAACCCAATCTCTTCTCATACAATTTATTAATTCATGTGTTTTGCCCATTATTCTTTATTGTTCTCCATTATTCTTCCCTGGGCTACTCAAAAAAGACCATATAATACTACGAAGAACATTGAAGGCTGTAAGTAGGGTCAGTGCTATCCCTTTGACTCAACTAACCGACACTGTTGTCAATAGGCATATGAATTCTTGTAAACACTTAGCTAAAGTTATCTTGTCTGATAGTGAACATCCTCTTTATTCACAATTGTTTCCTTGCATCTCTTCGGGTAAGACCAGAAGAAATTTCATAAACATTTATGCTCGTACTACAAAATATAAAAATTCGACCGTACCATATTTGGCACGTGTATTGTGTGAAGAGACAAATATCAGAAAAGAACTTTTACAACTTTTAAATCATTAACTAAACTATAAAATGTAATGATGCATATTATTGCATGTGTTATTTGTTATATTATTTATTTATTATTCACTATGACCTAGAAATGGTGTATTTTGTTGGGGTTTTTATTTTTCCTATTAACTATTAATATTTTTAAAATTTTATACATTTATATAATTATAAACAGAGCTAAACCATTGCAATATGTAAAAGCAACGCTGAAAATTCCATGCTGTAAATTGTTATTGTTGTGGAATAAAGTGAATTATTATTATTAAATATTTTTACGCATATACTAAGTTTCACATAAGATACTTTGAACAAATGAGGTTATTTACTTTGCACGATCTATAGCTCAACTGAATTTGAATCAGTTGTAGATAATAAGTCAAACATGCTGAGTCATTTTGATAATGAATTACCAAAGTTTAATCAGTACTCTCCACTGTAGTTTAGCTTAGTATTCTGCATAAAAATGAACAGAGTTTATGCTGAAAATCTGACTTTATTTCTCCTAAACATGGGGTTTTACTGAGGCAGATAGCTCCTCTGAGTCAGAAGACAAATGGACAAGAGGGTGAGAAATTCCCAGAAAACAACAACTAATCACTTCACTTCCTGTTGAAGTCAATGCTGAGAATGTGAATAATGTAAACACAAGGGTATTTTGTGCTTAAACACGAATATTCCATATACAAGTGTAATTTCTGAGCACTGTGAACTGACATCATGTCACATTTGCAAGTACGTTAGAATCCCTCTGCACAATCATTGCAGGTTATTAGATAAACCGGGTTATTTATTCCATTGACTCTAAAGGATAATTTGAATGATATTATTTGTTAGCGAGTGAGTCAGTTTGTGGCTTTCAATGCCACTTTTATTGTGATAATGTTAAATATCATCCAGGCTGTGTGCAGGTGATGAGAAGCTGACGAAATAAAGTATGGCATTATATTATTCTGTACAAGGCGTTGTTCTTCCGGCTTTTTATTGAAATTCTCAAAGGTTGAATGAACGTACGAAGAATGGCTGAAAATGTCGTCCAGGAAGATAATGATGAAAGTTTCGGAATCAGAACATCCACCACCACCATCATCATCCACTTGCTCTACTTACTAATCACCATCATTTCTACATAAGATGCATATCATACAACTACGTAAATTTAAAACAAGGCAAAAGTAAATGTTTGCACAGGATAACATGAGGCTATGACTTAATTCGTCGGATTCTCTTCATCTGCTAACAACCTAGAAGTTGATTATGTAAATGTGCATGGTCTTTTGTCATACTTGCAGGACTCAGAAGAGACACATGTCAATAAACAATGTTCACAAGTCCCACTTATATAACTTATGGAGGAAGTCAAGTTCCAAATTTGAATGATTCACCCTATTAAGACTGACATTCATTATCAAGCTACGCTATTCATAAACTGGAGATCATCTGTGCACTTGCATTCAGAAAACAATTATCATTGACGTACTTGGTGGATACGTCAGTGAGGTGCTGGATACTGAATGCTGCTGTTGTTGTGTATGTATGTACGTATGTATGTGTGTGCGTTTGTGTGTGTGATGGAGACAATTTAGTAAGTAGCTTCATCATCTACTGAAGATTTTTACTGAATTGGCTAACAATATTTTGATGTTCTAAATACCTGGTGAGTGTTTAAGTTTGTGACACTTTGATAGCCTGTGATTCTGCGTTAATTTTCTTATCGCATGTATCACACACAGAGTGAAACAGAAGTATATTTCCTGGATGACGGATTTCCGAGCACAATTCACTCTTCCCAATCACATCACAAACTGTAACTAGACAACTTCGAACCTTGATCTTTGTAATTCTCCTTCTTCCTTTTCGTGGTATGCCAAAAGGATCATGGAGTCATCCAGATGACCAGAACAGGAGTTGAATCACCCTTATTGCACTTATTCTCAGCTGATTCAATAAATCTGTCTCTCCGGCTTGTTGGATTAGGTTTCAGAGCTGTCGTCTTGTCCTATGCTGTTGTGCGGTTGTGTCAGAGTCCACAAGTGCATATTTCTCTAATCCTTTTTCGCTTTCAGCTAATCTAACTAACCGTCGCCTAATACTTTCATCTCACAACCACTACAGAGTATTAGATAAACGAAATTATTGCGTTTAATGAGCTCCAAATGACATTGTTTCTTAAAAAGTGAGCTTCGGATGTCGACTTTGCTTTTATTACTACACTGTCAGCAATTCTACTCAAGTTTTTCAGAGCTCACATTTTTGTATGGCAGGACTACCGGTGTGTTACATCCCCCTCTTTTATCTTACCAACACCTGTGAATGTTTCTCATTTTTAGATGTTTTCATAGCTTCTATTATTTTTATTCCTATTACCTCCCAGATACTTCTTGATTAATTTATTAGGATAATTACGGAGTGCCAGAGGTTCGCTTACGTGCCTCACTTCCTGTCGTAGATTGTTAAGATTTCAAAGCTTGCTAGTTCTTATGTATTCTACAATTCATCTTCAATGTGGAGTGTAGGATGACTACACGAATACAAACTGTTGGGAACATGCTGACAAGCATTTTGTATAATCTCAGTAATTATCAAGCATCAGAGCTGTGATTCATATCGTCTTTCAGGGTTTTATGGCGTAGGCTGCCTTACGAATTTAATCTAGACAAACTGTTTAGCTGATAAGCCAAGAGAGTAATCCCTTCTTGCATCAAACCCATTCGATGTTGCAAAACCACAACCATTTCTAACGAATTATTTGTCAAAACGAAAAAGAAAACATGTCGGTCTTTCTGACAAATACTAAACAGTTAAAATAAGAAAAGATAATAATGCTGATAGGAAACAAACATTACAATTCACTCTGTGGACAGTGAGGACTTACCTCGGACGACCAACAATGAAGTAATAATCACGCAATTTCTTTAAATAACTGTTTAGTTCTTTCACTGTTTTAAACTCTTTTGGCCTTATAGGAGGTTTGAGTCCCGCTGATCTTGTTTCTATCCTTTGAATGTCGTTATTATTGTTATTCTTATTGTTATGACCAGTGTTGTCAAGTGGTGCATTTGTCATCATTCTGTTCACAGGTCTATAGTCGATATCAGCCTCGGAATTCTTCCATCTAGATGGGTAAACTTCACCTTTCGCCTCACAGATAACAATCCATAGTGTTAAGATATTACGGTAGATTTGAAGACTTTTGAGAGTACTGACTCTGCGTGAACCCAGCATTGTATAGATAACTGAAAAATAAAGTTTTATTTAATGTAGAAAAGAAGATATTTCAGTAAACAGGTGGATTTTGGTTTCTCATGCGAAATATAACTAGGACAGTCATAGCTGAATGAACAGGTCGCCAAACTATGAGAGATACAAAATATTCATTTGCACTTGTGTTGAGTAGCCAGTTCGGCTGACTTTTGCTGGGTTACTCTACTACTACTACTATATTCACGCCCAGTTACATCCGAATTGATCATTTTGTCGACATCAATTCTCAACGCCTGAAATCTATGAAAATCAAATAATCACGAAATACGACCTACATCTAGGATTATTGAAACAGTCACTTATTCCTCTCCAATATAGATTTCGTCACGAATCAACACTGGAGAATCATTTGAACTAACTAGTGCTGGACAGTTGTCTAGTCATAGTTTGGAACTCTTCAGCAGTCCACACACACCTATTACCCAACCATCTGGGATTGAAGCAAACACCTACAGGTTACGAGGACATCTCAACCATCATTCAGTCACTTATACTGGACTTCAATGGTCCGGCAATTCTAACTTCTGTTAGCTGACTATAGGGTGGTACCGACACTGGAAGCCATCGATAAGCAACTGTTCCAGCCTAACGTTGTGGATCCCATTGGTCATGGCCTCACCGTAGAATTTCAGACTACGGGTTTTGCGGTTATTCGGGTTATTTTCAATGCAGATTTAGTGAAGTTGTCCATACTGAAGCCAATCCAAATCCCTACAGATGCCTTAATCTCCTTATTCCACTCAACTGAACTTCGCGTAGCCAGTAGCTACACTGGGGAAGAGGAAAGGTTGGGCGGGTAGACAGCAACAGCACTTCCCGAAAAGGCATCACTGCTACTGAAACTGCAAATCTCAAGCATGAAGTCATATGTTATACTCAGGATGCATAGGACTGGGAGAAAATATCGACGACCACTTCAGACATTGGTACAGACTATCTATTCAAGTAGGTTTATTGGGAAATGATCTTGGAATGCAATAAACACAAAGGTAGACAGTCACATTGTTGTAACAGCTTTCAAACACCAGTATTTTCTCTATCAGGCTTGTAAAGTGGAGTATATATATATGTACATATATCTTTTGGACAACAGAATTTCAGCTCTCTCAAGAAGGGATGAATTATACTCTGATCATGTTATTTGACAGAGAGCATTGAAATATCATATTCCCATCTCTCATGCTTGGATAAAATTCAGTGTCAGACGCAGAGTGAACTTAGAGGAGGTCGCTTCCTTGACTTATATGGACAACACCGCGAAAAATACAGGCAAGACAGATGGATGAGAATGTCTAAGTCGGAATCAACAAAAGAGAGACAAACCTTCATCATTCTGAAAGTAGATCAGAAATCTACTGCACTGAACAAGGAGAATGAACAAGATTCGGATCCTAAGCACCAGTCAGTTCTGCAATATGGATCAGAAAATTGCACTGCATGTCACGAAAAGCATTTCGAATGGGCTACTGCAGACTTTAATTAACAGCTGCCACCTTCGCCAGCATCATGTTGAAGATCAGATGAGAAGAAGAAATAATTAGCAACAAGGAACTCTGAAAACGAAACAACCAACCATCCAACCAACAGCCTAAATAACAGCGACGAAATTCTAAAGATTACTGAACAACACAGAAACATTGATACATCAGAGAGTGTGGCGAAATTAAGTAAGTCAATCGAGTGATGCAACTAAATGGAGAGGAGTGAGTAGGGTTCAAAGAGAAAATCGAGGTTAGGCGTGGCTAAACTCAGTCAGTGTCATAAGGAGTAGAGGTGTAGTGTTGAGATGAATAAGAAAATAGAAAGAACGAGTGAAATGACTAAAGGAACTGCCTACATGGTAATTTCAGTAGCTGAAATACTCATCTTCTGTAAGTACAGCCCAGGATTTAACATATGAATTGCTATGACTTCTGTCGCTCGAAGTAACTTGCTTTCTAATACTCTAGGCATTCCCTCTAAGTACTACTCTGCAGGGTATATCTTAGCGAACATCCTGTTCATTGCTGTGACAATGTATTCTTGTACAGCTTGAGAGTGGCATTATTGACAACAGGAAACTCTTCGTTAAACATACCCCTTCTTCACTTTGCAGAAATTCGCATCAAAAAAGCAGTGCGGCTTTCCTTATCACTTTTATATTTGGATTGAGACAGAGATAGATTTTCAGTTGTTTAGACTGAACATTATTTTATTTTATTTATTCCTTCACGTTCCCAGTGGAACATAGGGCTTCAAGCTAGAGTCTTGAAGTTTCTGTAGCAGTATTTATTTTACAGGATAGGGTTGCTAGCCTCATGCCCAACCTTTCCTCTTCACCAGCATTATTTCTGGCTTATTGGGGTAAAGGAGTGCGCCGGCCGGGGATCGAACCCCGGACCATATGCATGGTCGGCGAGCGTCCTAACCACTATGCCACTGACGACTGGACATGAATTTCATAATTCACCTTCGTCTTATAGTCCGTTAATCAATTGTATTATATTCTAAGCACAAGATAAAATGATGAACAATATTCATGAAAGAAAGAATTAACCTGTTAACTTACTAAAGATGAGGAGCACTAGCAGTATGCTAAACACAAGTGAAATTTTATTACATAAATATTTCACAACTGCTTACCATTATATTTATAGATATTTCATCGTGCCAATCAGTAATCAGAGTGCACACGCCTTTGATGACATCAGTCACAGTACACCAGATTCAGTGAAATTTTCTTTTCTCTTTCTCATATTTCTTTCTAAACAAGATGTAGTTATGTTCTTCTAAATTTAGCAAGAGTACATTTCTCAGTTCAATTAGGTATTTGTAGAACAATTACAAATCAGTGAATCACACCACACAATACTCAAAGTTAATCCATTTTAAATAATCATATTTGAAAGAGATAGATACAACTTTATTAGAAGGCTTAGCCTTACTGCCTAAATATTATCTAAATTGGTGTAATTAAATAGCGACTTCTGAAAGTCATTCAGTGATATCAGTGGGAGAAGCATTGAAGACGACGACAGATATTTTCACCTAGTTTTACACACTGCTGCAGTACGCATCCTTCACCATGCCTGCAGCCATTGGAATCAGCACCTTCAGGATACGTGACGTGTCCACTAATCATTCAACCAGTTGGACAGAGTTGAATGACTGGACTGTTGTTTCTAACTTTTGTCAGTATCCGGATTCCACCACTGCCAATAGTCTTTGTCATCATATGTATTCTTCTTCACATTCCGCTTGGTGCACGTAACTGGTTTCGACTTGTGACTGGAATTCTCATCACCTTCACTGTGTAGTCAGCTGATAGCCAATTGACAGATGTCAGAATTCATCGGCCATTCGATTCAGTGTCATTATTCGAATGATCGACTACATCGCCTCCTAACCTGATGGTTCTGTCTTCGATCTCCTGTGGGGTGAAGTGTGCGCACTTCCGAATAGTCTAAATCCAGAACACAGTTGTCAGGAAAGTGATATACATTCTAGGAGATAAAGGATGATAATCTCAAAGTTATTTGAAACATCCAAGTAGGTGTAAATATTGTGAATACTTCGTCGAGGAGTGATTTTCCAAACGAGCATTCCATTACACTCAGATATCATAGAAATAGGGACACTGGGTTAATATGGTATACATAATTTTTTTGGCTAACTGCGTGCATCAAATATCAGGTTTACTGAGATGCTGACCAACGTTTAATAATAAGTTAATGTCAGTTGATTGAGATCGATAGCTGGCTCATCATGCTTGGAGAACAAGTTTACTACTAACTGGAACTATGGATTCATAATAAATTACATTGACCACAGTAACTGTGTGTATTCACACACTGAGTATACTTGTCAGCCGGTGTTAATAGAGTTCCAAATGAACTGAAATAATTCCTAGTAGGAAATATGTTTTAATTTAGGCTTAACCTGTCAGATTTGTCACTGGAATTTAATCGCTTTGTTTAAACAGAAGTCAATGTGAGTCATGCTGACTGGATATTAATTTCTTTCAGCCAGTCTCAATATTTTCCTCTGGTTTACACTTGAACACAAATGTCAAATTAATTCCTCTCCCCTCGTCCGATGTTATAGAAGCCTTCTGAATGCTGTGCAATATTTACTACAGTAGCGATAAATTGCTTCGCATCGTTTCATTTGAATTGATTCATGGTTGAACGTAATGTAGTTGAGATGCCAGGACACCCTGCAGTCTGGTAATATCTATCTCAGTGACATCTTAAAGTTGAGAGCGTCAAATGGCCGGTGAACTTGAACAGCAAATCAACACCACTATATGTGTTGAATCTCCGTTCACATGAATAACCCAACCACTTGTCTCACACAGACATAATTGCTTCTGTGCAGTGTTTCATGTGCTAATAGCTGCAATGTAATTGATAATGATAACAGCAGCTTTCCTTTCATAAACACATATCTAGTATAGATTGCGTCGTCTTGTGGTATTTAGATTAGTAAAACAATATGAAACGGAGTAAAAACGATGCACTTTGTTGGATAGGAAATTTAGGTAGCCGAGTGATTTAATCAGGTGGCTGTAAAGTTATAGACTCAGTGTTATACTACATTTGTTCATATTAGTTTTGTAGGCTCTCAGTTATCCTTTAACAATCTAAAGACAGTGAATTAACACAAATCAAGTATATGGAGTGTTCATGGATATAAAGCCTAGTAATTAGTCCCCGATTCGATGAACTCTTCATTGCCTATATGAATACAATATTCACAATGGATAAGCAGATTCACAAATGAAACTCACTTTATTTGCATTACATTTTCGAATGAACCATTAAAGACTCTCAGTCAACGAAAATGGATGCAAGTTATTCTTTCCGCAACCCCTAGTGTTTCATTTCAGGTGTAATTTCACCAACAAGACTTCATTATTTTTATCATTCTATATTCCGTATCACCATCTGAGAGTTATCCTAAAACTGATAGGTTTAACACAC